ATTCAATAAGAATCAACCCCGAACGGAAATTTATGCGAAGGTTTGTATTAAGCGTGTACAGCAGTAATGAACTCAGTAGATTTGGCGTAGAGCTTTGTGACTTTAGACTAGACAGAAGGAACTTTCTCTCTAACAAATTTTAGGAAAATACGTATATATGTATACACTCTCGGAAGAAACAGTGGAGGGAGGAATTAGTAAGGGTTGGTAAGCAGAGGTCGAAGATTAAAAATGACGCAGAGTGCAAAGTGGAGGATGATGTAAAGCTGGATGTTGACAAGATGAATTGGAGTTAAGGATGAGGTCATTGGGGTCTGGAATAATTGGACGAGGTATCTTATCTATGTATGCTTAGTTTGGTATACAACAATATAATATTAATTGACTATTCTAGTTGTACAATGTTTAAATTAATTATTGTGATTCTACTTTAAATAAAAAAATACAATTTCTGGGATTTTAATAGTTTCAATTAAAAAATGGATGCTTTCTTAATCGTAGTTCCCACATTTCCCATCACCAAAAACCGAAATAAACAATATTATAACATAGGAAATAGATACCTTTTTTCGTCGTTATCCTTCTTAGCAAGGAGCTGTCTCTTCCAAGCAGGTATCGCCTTCTGTCGTCTCTCTTCGTTTTCTCTGGCAATTTGCTCTTCCAATTCTTTCTTCGCTCTTTCGGCAGCTTTCCGCGCGAGCATTTGTCGTTTCCATATCGGTATCACGTTTCCAGAACTGTCCTTCTCAGGAATCTATAAAAAAAAATCAACGAATGAACCAATGGCAAACGACAAACAGTGAATCTGTAGCAAAGAGAATTTACCTGATCCACGAAATTCGAAACGCTGAACGTTTTGTTGATTTCCGACATGAGATTCTGTTCCTGCGTTTTCTCCACTTGAGCCATCTCCACTTTCAGCTTCTTTATCCCGGGTATGTCCTTGGTTCTCTTCAATTCTGCGATTAAGTCGGTTTTTTGAACGAAGAACGGCTCTGAAACTGATACGACGTGTAATAATTAAGCAAGAAAAAATATAATAACGATGTCAAAAAAGTCTTTCTTGAAAACATCGTTCCCATAGTAGGTATATATTTTTTTATAGCAGATTTGCAGTTCGGTTTCGCTTACCATTAGTCATAGACACACTGCGCGGCGGCGGCGCGGAAAATGTTTTAGTCGCGTTTATTTTTGCGGTGGTTCTTCTTAATTGGATACTCGTAAGATCCTGAATACTAATAGTTGCAAGCGGTTGTGGGCTTCTTGTTGACTCGGATTCGGCGTTAGCGATCTCGCCAATCCGCCGTGACTTCTCAAGCGGAGACATGGGTGGCGGGGGTGGACCCGGAGCTGATTCTTTTCCCTCCGTTTCCGGTCCACCGGCACCCACGTCCTCGGCTAATTCCTCTTCCTGGACTTGCTCGCTCTCTTGCCTGGTGCATCCGCTTCGACTTTGAATGTCCAAATTATCTACCGACCTGTCGATGTCATTATATTAAATTGTTATAAATTGAAATTACAATACCGCGTTGAATGATGTTAAGGACTATCAGTGCTTGTTTAATATTCGAACGCAAATTATTTTAAAAAATAACTAGCCATTTAATTTATAATTGCAGCTTCTCCGTTGTATAATTATAAATAATGCTAATAGACTGGATATTATAAATAAGTAGTTATAAATTATTTTCG